TGTGTGTGTGTGTGTGTGTGTGTGTGTGTGTGCTGAAAAGCCTGAGTGGTCTGTTGACTGACCTTTGTATTTGTTCAAATAATTGTTACAATATAAAACAATGTTTGTCATAATCATGTCTTGTGATTCTTTGACAGGAGTTTTACTTTTAAACTATAAGTGTATTTAATTTAGTTATGTTAGTTATGATAGTTTAGTTATAAGGCAAAAAATAAAAATGAAACCAAGATTTAGAATAATTATCATTTTTATCCACATGGTAATGTCTGACTGGGCCTCGTGCCACTTTATGTTCAACAAATTGGGCCCTGAGGTCAAAAAGGTTAAGAACCCCTGTTCTACACTTTTCAAAAATATGACAACAGGCTCCTCCTCCTTGTTCTCATCTTATCAATAACTGACGCAAGGAAGTTACCTGACACGTCAAAACCGGACTCAGAAGGAACTTTAGACAAGCGTCGATATGTGGCGAGTTGGGAGCGAGAATGACCTGAGTTGCCAGATAAAGTGCATTACAGTGATTCTGCCATTTGGTGACATAATTGCATCACAAACTCTGTCTTTTTCTGTTTTACTCTGTAAACATATTTACCTTTAGTATCAACAGATTCTCCAAAATGTAATCACACACAGAGTTTGATTTGACACAGTTTCATTGAAAGGCTGTGTTCTTCATCCATCGTCTATGGCACACAGAAAGTAGGTCATGACAATGCAGTGGAGTGTTTTATTCATGATGTGCTCACAAGAGAATTCCCCCAAAATATTTATTTTGTCACTGCAGAGATATTCAGTCTGACAAGTCTGACTGCTGCGTCATTTTATTCTTATGTTGTTTTTTTTGTCCACCACAAAATGACTAGAAAACTAAAATTTAGGCGAAAAAAAAGTGGCACTGACTGCAAAAGTGGTACAACTTTGTAAATTTTGGATATTATCCTTAAAGAGATAGTAGTGTCATTTTTGAAAAGMTGTTCTGTCAAATMGTTAGAAATACCTTTTTAATCACGACATCAGTCACAGAGCACAGAGTATGGACAAAAGGGCAGAGGTCTTTGTCCAGGCTAGCCAAACTTTTGGTCTTTTCTCAGGTTTATTCACACACCTGGGTTGCAGCCTCTGAATTCAGACGCAGCTTTTGGTTCCAAGAATACAACAGCTAATACAAACCAGGATAATTGATTAACAAAATAAAAAGGTGGGATGACATGTCTGCTATTGTCTCATAACTACTGTGGTCAGAATGCCTAAGTCCAGTATTTACAAAGAGTAAGCCCATGGCATRCCAAGGTCTGACTAAACTGGAAAAATCATTTGAAGCCATTTTTACTGATATGTTTGTTGTTATTTCATGTGATGAAATATAATAAAATTTTCACCTTACTAAAACTTCCTTAAAATATCCTGATGCATCTCAGTAATCCAGGTAGAAAAAAAAACAAAAAGAAAAAATAAATAGGTCCTCTGTTT